TGACATTGGTGCGGGTCTGTGAAGCAACAATGTGAAGTCGTTTAGGTGTAATTCGATCTTTGAGTTGCTGTTCTTAGGTGTCCAAAATAGAAAACAAATGGAAGCAGTTATTCTAAGACACCTGTCTGATATCTAGTTTGAAAAGCCCAAGATATTATGATGCATTTGTTGTTTGTTTTCTTATACTTTATCCTGATTTTCCAGGTTGGTGATGGTGGAGTAGGTTTCATATGGTTAGTCAGTGAGGGTGGACTGGAAGAAGAATGGAGACATTCTGTTGCACCAATTCTTGTGGATAAACTTGTTGGGATCATGCAAATAACTAATGATGAAGCAGATATATCAAACGAAGATGGTGCCTTTCTTCCACCTTCTGGAGAACTGGGACCTGATTCTGTCACTAATGATTCTAATGAAGATGGTGAAGACACTAGAGATGACTCTGTAATTTTTGAGAGAGAAGTAGGTTTTGATGGGACTATTTTATATTTTTGATCAGTTACGTAAAACTGTATAGTAGATTAAGATCTCCTTTCCATTTGTCATTGCAGGTTGAAGCAACTTTTCAAAGGGCTGTAGAGGAAGAAGTAACAGAAGACCATGTAATTTTAGAAGTTAATGCATTGCGGTATGTTGACTAGAACTCATTTTGTATCTTATATTCTTGAATATTGTGTCTGGAGAAAAGCTTTTTACCTTGAATTAACATTTGCTCTTCCCTCCTGTTGGCTCCAGTTGGTGCATTATTTCATGCCATATTTACTACAAGAATTTCCACTTACTGTATATTCTGTAGGGTGACAAGTGTGCACCCAAAAGTTCCATTTCTTGTCCTTTGGACAGTTTCTTAATTTATGCTTCTATTAACCAAAGAGGGTTGAAGTGCTAATTGGCTTAGTTTATCTTTGCGAGGTTAAAGCAGCAGCTTTCCTCTCCTCTTTCAGTGTTCTTCTTACTTAAAATCTCATCATATTTCTTTAGGGTATTTTTGTACATCTTACCTTCAAGTATGTATTTTTTTTATGCCTACCTCCTGCGAGAAAGTGTAATGCTTCTTTTGCCTTTGACCTTTCCTTTTATTATTGTACTCTACACTGTATATGCAGACTTACTGTGGTCGAATTCCCTAGTCTTGTGTTGTTTCTCTTACTCTGATTAGACCCTAAATTTCAGAGTACAATTGGAAGTACGTAAGAAGATGAATTGAGTTCTAGAAAGTATTACGTAAACATCAATACGGAAGCCTCAAGATTATATGTATATATTGCTAAGGAAATTTGTGGCCGCCTGCCTTTATATCAACAACCTGCAGTTATCTCTTGTATGTTTTCACATTTGCTACCACTCTGCACCATCCTTATTTATTTCTGAGGATTAGGGGTGTTCATTACCCGGATTAAACCGAACCGAAATGAAAATTTAGTTTGGATTGGTTTTTTTCTGTTTGGTTTCAGATTGAGAAATTAAAAATTTTGATTTTTTTTGGTATGCATGTTGTTGTTGGCTTTTTTGGTATGCTTTCGGATTTAAGAGTGTGTTTGCCTTTTTAAAGGCAGGGTAAAGTCTGCGTACACTCTACCCTCCCCAGACCCCACTTGTGGGACTACACTGGGTATGTTGTTGTTGTTGATTTTTTTGGTATGCTTAAAAAACAAAAAATTTAATAATATACATTAATTTTATTTAACATGGAGTACCATTTACGGGAGTTAAGTTTGACTGTTTTATCACTAGAGTTAAGTTTGACTGTTTTATCACTTTCAACCTTGCTTATTGAACTATTTGTACTAGGATCTAGGGAATATAACGCCTTATTCTTCATCTTTGCAATATAACCCTTTATTCCTCATCTTTACTAAGTAGTATTTTGATTGCAAAGCTTTCATCAAAAGTTTCACTTTTTCTTCAAGTTCTAATATTTGCAAGCAAGAATTAATCTCATTTGAAAGGATTATGGTTTGGATTTTGTATTTTTATGTTTTTCTTTTGATGAAATAAGGTGTTCCATTAGCAAAAGGCATCAGGGAGATGCGAATTACAAAAGTAATGAAATGCAGAATGAAAAAAATAAGAATTGTAGCTCCCTTTACAGTGTTAATCTAAGACCAGGGAGCTAACAAAGTCCATACGTTGGTCAGTGCTAATTACCGAAGCTAACTTAGTCCAACAAAAAAGATTGAGTAGGCAATTAGCTTTGAGAGAGTGATTTGGAGTTGAGATTCCATCAAAACATCTTCTATTCCTCTCGTTCCATAAACACCAGAAAATAGCACCAGGGATCATCAACCAGATTTTTTTGATGGTCTTGTAAACTCTCCATAAACTCCAGCTCAATTGAGCCTCTTTCATATTCTGTGGCATGACCCAATGCAGGCCAAAAATGCAAAGGAACATATTCCAAAGGTCAAAAGTCATAGGGCAGTGCAAAAACAGGTGGTTGACAGTTTCTGCATCTCCCAGACATAGATAACACCTGATGATCAACTGGAAACCTCTTCTGTTGAGATTGTTTTGAGTTAAGCAGGCCTCATAGAGGGCAATCCAGTTGTGGCAAATGACTTTGATAGGTAGTTTGGTCTTCCATATTAACTTCCAGGGCCATGCATCTATCATCTGGTTCTGGGAACCAATCTGCCTGTAGCATTCTTTTACTGTGAAGGTGCCCCAGCAGATGGTATCTGGTTGGCTCACATCAGTATTGTACCCCTCCACTTTTGCTAGCATATCAAATAGGCTATCAATTTCCCAGTCTTGCACTGCTCTTCTATTTTGTATTTTGTATTTTTATGTCTGGACATGTTACTTTTAAAAATGTGTTTTCAATGATTTACCTGTGACTAATATTAGAAACTTTATTAAGAAATTTAATATTATTCTCATTCTCTATAATATTTATATTTTCGCCATGAACTATAAATATTCGATTATGTTAATTATTTTGTATGGCATAATCAAATAACCGAATAACCAAACTGGGAAAAGCCGAGCCGAAAAGAGTACCAAACCAAACCAAACTAATTCGAAAAACCGAACAGTGCAAAATAGAATCGAAAAACCGAATGCACACCCCTACTAAGGGTAGACGGAGAAACATATTGTCATAGGAAGAAAGTGTACACGTACTAGTGGCCTTGAGGCTTGGTGATTGTTGTTATATTTAAATTTCTGAATTTATTGGGAAGTAATTCGTGAGATCATGCACTATGTGTTATTTGTCAGGAGTCTTTATTTTGGTCGAAGACATTTATTTCTGAGGGTAGACGGAGAAACATTTTGTCATAAGAAGAAAGTGTACACGGACTAGTGGAATTCAGATTGTTTGTGTTCCTTCTCTGTTTCATTGCAGGTTGTCATACAATATGACATCTGCAGACTGTGCTGGTGCCTTGTTTTATTCAGTGATGAAATTGGCATTGGATTCTCCGCATGACTCACCTAGTAAGTTTTCCTTTTATTTTTGTGTTTCACACTACACAAGGTTGTTGTAAATTGTAATTATCTGTAGGTTGCTTTTTCTATTGCAATTTGACATAGAGTGCTGGGTTTTTGGCATTTTGTGGTGAGCGGTGCTAATTTTCCTGTTTCGTTATAAAAGAGAGAAATTCCTTTCTAAAGTGTAGATTCATATTCCCTTATTCAACTTGGATACACCAAATAGATCTGTTGCTTAATTGAAAGATCATTTAATATGCATGTCAAGTGTTGAAGCTGTATGCCCTTAAAGCTATAAGCTTATTACAAATAGTGGCACTTTTCTTAAGGTAAAAAACATGGTAATGGTCTTATGGCTTCCACTTCCAGTTTATGATATTAATTTTCTACTCTTTGTTGGTGTTCAGTTGTTTGCTATGTATGTGCATTTGCATTTATTTGTTCGTTATTTTGCTCTATAAATATGATATGGTTTAGATACTGAGTTTTAATTATTCATTTTCATCCTTCTCTTAATCTCAGACACTAATATTTGGCAAGGTATAAAGAATTTAGCTAGATGCGCTTTCTTTCGTATTTACTTCGACCTCTTTTCTTTCTGGAAGTGGCTATATTATGTCTAATATTTGTATGCTTATGTTGTATAGTTTGTGTATTCATCCCATATATGCCTTTTTTCCCCAGATGAATTGGTCAAGAATGTTGCTACCACAGTTAAAAAATGGAAAAAGCTTCTGAAATATTACTTGCCAAGCATTGATGAAGAGGTTAGTGTATTTTGTATTTTATTTATACATTGCTACTCAGGTGTGTTAACATGGCACTTATCTGTTGGTTCTTTGTCTTACCCTAAGAAATGTCAGTTCTTAGAAATCTTAGTAGTAATGTTTTTCCATCAGTTGTGATGTTTGGAAAGTACTTCACATGTTTAGATCTCATGAATATTCTGATATTGGATCTGTCAGATTGAAGTAATATTGAAGTTTGAAGAAATGTGCTTGGAATCTGCGAAGGAGTATTCTCCATTATTTGTACAGGTATGTTGTTTCACTCTTGAAGTTGCACTGTTTTTGCAGTCCATCTAGAGGATTGAATTAGTCTTTCCAGTCGTTTAGCTGTTAGATGTGCAGAGCAAAGGGTTAGATCTAGGCAACCTGTAATGCTAATTCACTAAACTATTGATATGGTTAAACTAATACCGTCTTGCATTTCGGAAAGCTATCAGCAATCTTTTTGTCTTAACAGGAGAAGTTGCTAGTGTTCAAGATAATCTATATGAATAATACTTATAACGAAACCCTATATGTAACTGTCACAAGTTCCGATTATACATTTGCTTTCGCTGTGCTGACGTGATGTGTGATGTTCTGAAGAGCCTTATATTCCACTACTAGCTGAATGTCCTTGTTTGATTTGGACTACTACTGACTACTGAGACGAAAGTTGAAAATGTTGTCCAGGAGTAAGTTGAAGTTCCCTTGTTTTTGTCCCCTTGCCGACAAGGCTTTGCACCTTAGTCTCCATTTGAAATTTACTGCTTTCCACATTAAATACGAGAACAAGGAGCATTGAAGGGTAAGTGGCTCTGAAGATATGCAGTTGTTGTCACCCCCCAAAATCTGGAGGAAGGTGACGGGCACTCAGTGCGTTAGACTTGCCATAAGAGCAAACCCACATTCATTTTATACTTAAGACAGAGAGAGTGTGTGCATCATGATAACGGATATGTCATAGTTTGAAACCATAGACATGTGGCTCATTTGCCTAATATCTTATTGAACTTTTATACATAATCCATGAAATACACATGATATTATTCTGAACATAATTACATGACCCACAATGTACATGGAGCTTTTAATGACAATGATTACATAATGCATACAAATAACCAGACATGAAGATACCCACTGGTATGGTAGCGGGGCTTACCATACAACCTGGAGGAGTCGAATGCCTGCCAATCTGCTTCCTCTAATTTCCATCTGGGCCTGCAAGAGGAAAACAATAATATGGCCAAACAACCGGGTACATCCACATCGTACTTAACATGTGCCATCGACTCACTAACTCAAGATTGGACAAGATTTTAAAGAAAACATCACGCGAGAGATATACAAATCAAATAATATGAAAGCACTTCATGAATCATAAAGCATTTGAAGACCTGAACATATTTGAAAACTACACATGTGGCCTTAGCCCTTCTTCATAACATAACATAGATTATAACTTTAATCGGGAGCATCTATGGACGTTTACGTAGTACATAGTCACTGTATGGGCAATATGGCATCCAAACGCGGGTAACGACTCGACTGTGAAAGCCGTCTCACCATAATATCATATGGATCGTACATGAATCTGATCTAAGATATCGATCGGTTGAGCCGTCCCACCATATGTCGTATGGATCTGACATGAAGGTATTGAGCAACATAAGCACCAAGCTTACACCAGCATGTGTAGTTTCCAAACTTAGGTCCCTTTTGCCCACAAGCTCACATTTCCGTTCGAAACGTTTTTGCAAATATATGGAGGTCATGACTTTGAGAAAGATCTCAAGAAAGGGTATATCTTGCGCTCACTGGGAATAGGATAGGTATTAACTGTTAGGAAGTTCTGATTCTTTTTGTTTGGAGGGCGGGGGAGGCTGAGGTGTCATACTAGCAATTTTAAAGCGTAATCTAGTTCTAATTACTGGTCATACGCCTCTTCAATGAGGTGTGTCTTGCCCCTGGGTGAACACCCAACTGTTTGGGGCATACACTCGCGTCTTACACTCGCCAACACTTTAGGACGTTTTGTGCCTACCTTGCCCCGAGGCGCCCCAGAAATGCCTTTCAAAACAATTTCTTTTTTTGTTTGGCTATGGGAAATCCCATTGATTCATTTTTGTGCATTTGTCAAGAAATATATCTGACCTACTTAAATATCCATTATTCAATTTAATCTAAATATTTTTACTCTATTTTATACCTCCACAGATTTTGCATCATCTGTACGATCAGGACATTATACAAGAAGAAGCAATACTTGACTGGGCTTCTGAAAAGGAAGAAGCAGAGGAGTCAGATAAGGTTTTTGTGAAGCAATCAGAAAAATTTATCCAGGTGCGTACTTGCAGCACTTAAACCTTTGCAGGTAGATGACCTGCCTGTAGTGCACAGAAACCTAGAAGATTCATTGATCTACTTACCCTATCTTGTCATTCCATCCCAACGTCTCCCCACCCCCTGATCCCCAATGCTCAGGAAAAAAGATTAAGGAATTAGCAAACTTGTAAACAATGAAAAGAAGAAAAGCAAAGTTCGTCTTTTTTATATTGCCTGCTTTACCCGTCATCTTGAATCGTGCATGCACATTATGAACTCTGAAAATATTTGCAGTGGCTCAAAGAAGCATCTGAAGAAGAGGATGAGGACTGACAGTAGTAGAGACCGTATATTTAAAGCTGCTCCAACTACCTGTAGCTACCTCACAGTTTGCCCTTGGATGAATATGTTACTCACCATTCAGAAACCTGCCACAGCTGAGAATCAAACCTTAATCCCTTTGTCCGTCCATAACCCTAAATGTGTCGTTTATATACATTTTTCATCACTTGTATAATCATTGACTTCGAGATAATTCATCTACAGTGGAACTGACTTCCAATTTAGTCTGTAGTCTTTTCTGCTGCAATTGGAGAGGCAAGTTTTGTTTCAATAGAATTTTTGATCTGAGGAAACACTTCACATGTCAACTGTGTGTGGAAATGTTATATAGTGAAGGGTTACTGTTAGTTGAAGACATTGTTTCCTACTAGGTAATTGGCATTTCTTTGCCATAAACCAACTCTTAGGTTAGGCCTATATATTGATTTTCTCACTGAAACGGTAAAACGGCTTGTATTGGAACTGTGGTACCTCTTTGAGTCTTCTTCTTGAGTATTTTATAAGAGCTTGCGTTATGTTGCTGTTACATATTGTTTCCCTTTTCCTTTTTCTTTTCTGTTTATAGTTTCTTCATTTCTCTTTTTCTGAAATCTTAGTTACCCTGCTAAACATTCCCTGGACTGTTAAGTTGAGTAGGAACAACTTCATTTATTTATTTTGTTGGTGTTTTCCACTGGCAGTGTCAATGTATTTTCACATAATCAGCGCAATTTATTTTACTGTTGAAGGTTTTTATCTTATTCAGGTTATTAATTTCAGTGGAATGTGTTGGTACTTTAAATTACCTTTAAAGAGGAGTGATTTTGTAGAATATTTTACCCAGTGAATTCCCACAAGTGGGGTCCGGAGAGAGTAGTGTGTACGCAGACTTTATCCCTACCTGTAAAAAGATAGAGGTTGTTTCCGGTAGAGAGGCATAGAAGTTAAAGCATACTTTATTTATTGGTGTGGGTTTGTTGGCGAACAAAAATGAGTAGTTTCTAAAAGCATCTAGTTTGTATGATAAATCCAAGCCCTGCAAGGAGAATCTATTTTTTCCATCCTTGCACGGACAATTCAATGATCAAATAGTTAAAAGTGCAAAGTGAAATGGCACGAGCTTGAATCCATTGCTAAACCAGATGAGTTTTCCTTACTTTTCCATTAACTATTGAAAAAGAACATATTTCAGAAAGCTTCAACTAAAGCTTTGAACGTAGATAGGACGTATACTTGCGAGTTCAGTTTATGCCAATTTTTTGTCATGTATTAAGTATGCACATAGATCATATATGCAATTTAATGCAAATTCTGTAAGGATTTAAATAATAAATCAGATTCGAGAGGCCCCATTGGTCCTGGACGCCCTTGTAAGCCCATTGGGCCTCTCCAGCAACAGCGAAAAGTGTTAAGGCTGCACCAGTGTAAACAACACAATTAGCAATATGATCCAAGAATGGGAAAAGGAAATGAAATTAATCCATTACTATTTCATAACTTGGCAACGAGTTTCAACACAAGTATTAAAATAGTTACACTTACATCCTGCAAAAGCTGCTTAATCCAAGGAACTAGAGGATCTAATTGGCTTCTCTTTTGTGCTCTAGGAACACAAAAATTGCTTTTATCGGTTATGAATATGAATACGTGCCTATCACTTCACCTCGTTCTAGAAATCTAATCTCATTGGGTCGAGAAAGAAGTACAAATTAAAAATGCATGTGAAATTAGATGAAAGAGAAAGCATATAAGAATGCTGATGCCACAGTTTGTAGCATGATTTAGTTTGAATATGCTTACCAACAAGTTATGACAGCAGGGTAACAACCCCCACATGCCTTGCCACATCCAACCATTGTTGGCACTCCTGAGCCAGGTTTAGGCCTCAATTCAAGACTAGGTGCATGAGGAGGACCACCACCTCCATGGCTAAGCTCACCTTCCGTACCTCCACGACTCGGTGAAGGCCCTATACCTCCAACTTCCTCGGTCATGGCTGCGACGCCAAGTTGAGTCCCTTTGAGTAGTCCTCCTGGGCCAAGTTGGGATGCAATGCCGTGTATTCCTCCACGTCCTCTCCCTGCCATTTCGGTTTTTTTCTATAGGCGAAAAGAGTAAAATCTGTTTGGTTTTATAGAAACCCAATATAGTTATAGTTTTCCATAAGTTACACTCACTCTGATCACCTATGACTTAAAAACTTTTTTCTGCCAATCTGTATTGCTACTAGTCAAAATGGTAAATACTGACCCCATCTTCCTTTTTTTTTTACGTACAAAAATTTGGTGCCTCCATAGAGATGTCTGACAAAATTTTCTTCAGTTTAGGTGACTAATTTCTTGGTTTACTCTCACGTGTGTGTTTATTACTTGGGGATGTCAATTTGCTCTTTCGATCCTCCTCACGTTTATATTATTTGGTACAATTAGCAAGTTAAGCTATTCTTGAAAATAAATGGGACTAATACGTGCAACTATTACCATTTTTGTCTTTTACGCGATCTAAAGCATATCCAAGGACGTCATAAAATGCTGCTTTTTAAGAACCAAAAGAAACTGTGTTGTATTTTAATACGAAAGAGAGAAGAAACATAGTACTTTCACATACTTTTTCCTTGCATAGAAGTAATCTAGTTGCGTGTGATGCTCCCTAAATATATTTCCAGATTGCCCTTTTATTTGATTTTTAATGAACAAATTAGAGGGTGGAAAAAGGGGCAATTCCCAGTTAGACTTGGAAGCAAATTTGATGATTTATGCAGAACCCTAAACAAAGAAAGGTACTATTTGTTGCTAGTACAGCGTTTTTTTTGCATATTTGTAATCTTACCTGTAAAAAGAGGTAAGGAATTTGCCCTACAGTTCACGACCAATGAGGTTAAAGGACTACTTGGAAACCAATATTCTCAACCAGGGGCAGAAAAAGAATGAAAAACAACATTAAGGACCAAATCATTAGAATGGGAGACATTTAGGACCTTTTTGGTAAAATACCCGTGATTTTTCTATTATAAATTATCACTGTACAGAAAGCCGATATGCCAAACAAACTTCCTTACACGATTCCAGCCAATCCAATAGCATCTCCTTCATCGGTCTTGGATTCAAAAGCGGGAGTTACATTTCTAGGTTTTGCTGAAGAATAAGAGTCAGAATCACCAGTTAATGAGCAGCTCAAAAACTAAATTCATGGTTAGTATGCACAGGACAGGAGAAAAACACAAAGCATTAGATTGGAGTGCACTCACTCGAAACATTTGTGATGACATTAACGCTCTTTTGAGCAGCGAGAGCTTTTAATTTGTTTCCTGTTGCTAACAACAGGAAGCTCTTCATATGCTGTCTCTGCTCCTTGGGACTAAGAGTCTTGGTCAACGCTTCTTCAAAGGCTTGAAGATCTTGGGATGTAATGCAAGGGAGAGAGAGTAAAATCTGCAGCCATTCAAATTTGTATGAGTTTTATCGAAAAGAAGATAAAAGACATGCATGCTTTCAGAAAGGTAAACTTCATTATGCTTGCTATTGTAAGATAGAGCATAAAAACTTCACAATTGAGAATGTAAGATGAGCTCAATTGCAATATATCAACAGAAAAAGAGAAGATAAGATGCAATTTTAAGCATGTCTGCAAATATATTGTTTAATGCAAGAGTGAGGACTAGTTGTCAATGAAGTGGGTCGAGAACTATGAAGTCTCAGGTACAAATCCCAACGGAGGCAAAAACACTAGGTGATTACTTCTCATCACTCCAAGCCTTGGAGGACAGAGTTTGCCAGACCTGTGCTGGTGGGGGTAGCAGATACCCCGTGGAATTAGTCGAGGTATGCGCAATCTGGCCCGGACACCATGGTTATCAAAAAGAAAATACATATATCTATGTAAACAGTGGATATTTTGTTGTTCTTAATATGCCAGTGGTGAAACTTGCATGGCAATTGCCACATTTTTTACTAATGCCATTTTATCATTATTTATATGAACCATATCAAAATAATTTGTCATACCCAAAAGCTCTTGGCCTTTTAACAATATTATAGATATATGTGAAAATTACTGCAAATAGATAAGCATAACCGCTGGAATTCTATTTTAAGAACATAAGAAGAAAAGAAAAAAGAATTGCTGAACATAGGTGACAACTGTTACAGCTAAATCTGATGCTATAAGAAACTGAAAAGAATGGGATCCGAATAACCTGCCGCGGTGCTGGGTGTCTATCAGCAAGATAAATGAAAATTTCACGACAAAGACCAACTAAATCAGCACTGATGAAAGCATTTGACTCCAGAGCCAAAGCTTGTATTATAGCAGGGAACAAATCTTTACAAACAAAATCCTGAAGCTCCACATTAGCTGTTGAAATGGCCAAGAGGATTACAGCTCCACAGAATGAAGAAACTTTAGTTACAGCTTCACCATCCGTCCATCTCAGAGCCTCTAAACTGATCTGCAAGGCTGGAAGTGCTATGCTTTTATGCATCAACACAAATCTGCACGTAAAGCACAAGGTCAAGATTGAGAAGAACAGAAGAATGTAGACTAGAGGTCTACTCGTCCACAAACTAAGCAAACTTAAAATTGACAACTTCTACAGACCCAACCATAGAGTTAGTGGCAAATGCATCCAAGTCTTTAAGTGATGACTCATCCATTCGGCTCACATGGCCAGAATGCTCCAATGAAGGAAGTCCAGCATTGAGTACAGATGAAGCAAAAACTGAGAGGATTGAGCACGTCTCACGAGTTAGATCTCGAAGAAGCTTTTCCTCCATTACTTCCACTTTCAAGTCTGAGCCATCAACTATGCCATGGAGATCAGGAACCTTTGCTCTACCTTCCTGTAAGAGACTAGACCATGAATAGCTAAGAGCTTGCTGAGAGTGGACAAGTAATGGGTGCAGGAGCTTTTCCAGCCATGCCTCCCACATATTGGCAGGGCAATTTTTGATCAAGGGGATCAAGGCTAAATGAAGAAGCAGCCTTAAGTGCCTGAATTCCATATGTTGTATGTTCTCCATCAAGGCTAAAGCAACAGACTGAGAGTCTAAGCATTTGAACGAATCCCCAATGGTTGCTGATAAGCCCAGTACATTGTACCTAAAGCCAAGAAAACTTCATTAACAAAACCAGACCACTAAATGGAAACATGAAACTAATTCCCAAGAGCATGGAGTAAAGGCATATATCACATGTAGAAAGAGAGATAGGCAGATCGCAGATCATAGTTTTAATAGCATACTAGAGTTTGCAGAGCATTTATGACAGATCTTATAGGCACTTTACAGACAATCAAGGGATCTTAAATAGAGAAAGGAGAATCCTGGGAAACAAGACACTTCAATATATATTCTAATTAGTACAGATACTAGTGCAGTGCAAGATGTCAATATTAATCTGCTAGCAAAAGATAATATATCATCAAACAATGAAAAATGACTAGATATTGTCTTAAAATAATCCATAGATAAGAATGCAGTGGCTTCCTAGAAAACCTAAAAAGAAGTTACAAAACTTGCAAGGTAATCTTTATTTATTTATGTTCTTTCTCTTCTTTTTTTCCTGCTATTATGGAGAGGGACTGGAGATCAATCCATTTCCTGTTTCTCCCTCTCTCGTCTCCCTCTCTCTTGTCCACAAAGATTTAAATGAGAATTGCCATGTCAACTAAGATAGAACTTCATGACAGCTTTGAAAAGACGTTATTTTCATTATCTGTTTTAGAGATTCAGAAGAGCAGCAACATACCCACTATCTCTGATACCTTTCAGCCAGTTGCGGATATCAGCTTCATTTGGCTCTGCATAGCCTTCTCTATTCATATCTAAAGGAGATCCATCAGTAAAACTTAGAGCGCCTTTAGGCAATTTAACGTTACCTCCCCCGAAAAGACTGGCCCTTTCAACATCACTCATAGCCATTGCAGCTTTAATCTCTCCTGGTAATGCTTGATTAACAGGTGGAGACCAAAGCGAATGTATGGCACGGAGTAGCTGAAAATCAAAGACATTTACATCTTTTAACAAATCTTCACTAAGGAAATGGGTGATGCAAAACAGTTCCTAAGAACTTGCTTACTTTAAGAAGAGGAGGAAGCATCCACGAGAGGTGAGATGCCATTGGATGCAAAAAGTCAGATGCTGGCATGGTTTGTACGCTAGCATAGCCTTTCCTTAGACCACTCCGTTTAAGAGCCTTCTCAAAGAATGTAACTGTGTGGAAAATAGACCACATAAATGGTGTATCAGCACACAGTCGAATCAAACCTGTCGGATCAGAGAGATATGCATTTTGCCACTCAAGCTGTGTCCACTGTTTGCTCAATGGTTCAAGTAACCAGGCCAAAACTTCTAGCTGCTGCTGAGCCCTGCACAATTTTGAGAACTCATAAAGGTCAAAGCCCGTGATATACTAGACATACATTTGAAACTCATTAAGACCAGTAGCTACCCAGCAGCAGAAGCCATAATAAGGAATGCTTCACCCAAGAGATTGTGCTCCCCACGAAGTAGACGACCTTCCTTTTGTAAAAATGCCATAGTGTCAGCAATTCCCTGAAAAACAACAGAGAAAATGCAGTCACATTCCAAGGAAACCAAACACACTCATGTCCAAATGTAAAAACCAACGTCTCTCACAGTCAAAACAATGACTAATACAATTGTGAGAATGCAAGGGAGAAAAATCTATTTATTAACAATGATACAATGAGCCCTATATATAATACATATTCTACTCCTACTACATATGGGACTAGGGGACATATTCTACTCCTACTACATATGGGACTAGGGGACATATTCTACTCCTACTACATATGGGACTAGGGGACATATTCTACTCCTACTACATATAAAACTAGGACTATTTACACATAACTATCTAACACTCCCCCTCAAGTTGATGCATACAACTATATACCGAGCTTGTTACCTATGTAACTAATACGAGGACCGGTGAGAGATTAGGTGAAAATATTTGCAAGCTGATTATTCGACATACAAGGCCACTAGACTCCCCCTGAGCAACAAAACCACGTGGTTGTTGATAAATAGAAGTTGGCCGAAAAGTATCCGGAAAATTTGAAAATAGTGAG